GCGTGTCGAAGTTGTCAGGTCCTTGGCACCAGTGGAAGTTTATGGTTAGGCATAAGATATCTATAAAGCTACGTGTACTGCATTATACATAAATTGTCGTGCTAGTCAGATCTGGGGCACCGGGGCTTGCAGCCTTGTTCTCGGAAACTTTAACTGTCGCAAACTCAACAGCAGCTCTCACTTCGCACTCTTGCTGGGCGATGGTTTTCGTTGCCTTGGCAGCCTTGCTGTAGTCCTGCTCTGGGTGCTCTCTCTTGTGGCTTGCTCTTGCTTCTTCGGTCTCATTGTTCTTCTGCTGTAGCTCCTCTAGGCTCCTGATTTTTGCCATGCGTAGCTCTTCCTCCTCCTGAAAAAGCAGCTGCTGCAGCTCCTGTTCCTCAGCTTCCAATAGCATTTCCTGCAATTGAAGCTGCTCTGCTTCAAGCATCTTTTCAAGAGCTACACCCTCCTCTTCGAGTTTTTTCAGCTCTTCGAGCTGCATGCGCTCGGCTGTCTGCTGGTCAGCAAGCACTTGGGGCGACTCAGTGGGGGATGGCAGGGGCTTGTGCGGAACCACACATGGACAGGGCAAGGCTTCCATCACAGCAAGGTCCTCGCCTTTAGCACCACAGTACTCGCACACATACCCATACATTTTGCTCCTCAGAAAATAATGCTCTTTGCGATCTTTCGGACCACTGCGTGGGGAATCTGGCAGCCCTGAGCTTCCATTGTCGAATCACTGCTGATGTGGCATATCCTCGATCCGGTATAAATGCTGTCTAGGAGCCTCTTGGTGGTGGCGTCTTGATCGTGGAGGTCGAAGAAGCAACCGATGGGCTAGGACCACCTGGGATGCAGTTTTGAAAGGTTTAGGGTTAAGGGATTTTGGGGCTTATAGGGTTCTGTAACAGCAGGTTTATAATGGGGTCATAACGAATTGAAGCCTCGGGGCTCTTGTGCGGTAGCTCACAGAGCATTGCAAGCTTCCGGGAGTCGATGGCAGAAGGACACCAGTCAGCCTTATATGTATGCCCACATGTATGTACACACACAAACAGAATCCACAATTCTCGAGCTTATCTGCATTTAGACCAGGAACAGGAACACGGATCTTGTCATCGACCAGTCTTTTGACCCCTATCACGGATCCAGGGACCTTATCCTCAGGGGCCTTCACAAATAGACCAGCTTCCTCGGGTTTCTTGATATCCTCAGGGGCCTTCACAAATCGACCAGCTTCCTCGGGTTTCTTGGTATCCTCAGGGGCCTTCACAAATAGACCAGCTTCCTCGGGTTTCTTGGTATCCTCTGGGGCCTTCACAAATAGACCAGCTTCCTTGGGTTTCTCGGTATCCTCAGGGGCCTTCACAAATAGACCAGCTTCCTTGGGTTTCTTGGCATCCTTAGGGGCCCCAGCTTCCTCGGGTTTCTTGGCATCTTCAGGAACCCTGCTGTGCGGGGGAAGGTCTGTAGACGAAGAGGCAGCACTGCCTCTGACTCCCGTAAGTGCATCTAGCTCAGGGTCACTGGCCACTTCTTCCTCGGATTCCCCTCCTTCACTCACTTCAGAACCTGATGCCTCAACATCGTCATCCGAGTCCTCGCTGGAGGAATCATCAGAATCATCGGGATCACCAGCGGCGCTGGCCGCAGAGCCTGGATGAGATGGGCAACCGGGCTTGATTTGACAGGATATCGATCGTGCGTAAAACTCACAATTGAGGCTAGTGCCGTTGCTTGATGGTATTGGAATTCCGGTTTGCGAGAAAAGTGACCGCACCCCCGCATCCCGCGGAACATGTGGTCGCTTTGCACATTTTTTAAAGATGGTGATGAGGCGGCGGATTACCCAGGCCTCAGTACTCAATTCCGTACCTGGCGAGGCCAGACACTAATGCATGCAAAAGTTTATGCAGCAGCACTCATGGATCGAACTTGTGCAGCATGAGTATGCAGCACAGCCTGAAGGCATCTTGACATTCTTCGGGAGGTAACTGCTGTAGAAGCGGACCAAAAATTGTTGTATGTAGGTAACCGTCGGCCTCATACCTGGGATGAATGCATGAAGAGCTTGCAGGTTATATCGTTACCATGCACATGCATTGTATACTTCATGCTGTCAAGAAACCAAGGGCATTCAGAATTGGCGCTAGAACATCCGTGTTATCCGCCAATGTAGTACGGCCCAACTTAGGATAGTTCAGCTGCAAAATCTTGCCCTTCACGAGCATCCGCTTCACATGTTCACTGTTGGCCCATGCTCGCAGCACCGGGCAAGTCTCCAGAGGCTGGCCCTCTTCTTCGGCCATTGCATACACAGCTTGATCGATCCAGAAAAATATGATCGGAAGCCCTAGCGAAGATATAGTTTGGATGGCTATGTACATGTGCCTGCAGTGCCTATCTATGCCAATGTACGATCGAGTTGCAAGCACAGTTAACATGGAGCCATCCTGAAGCAGGCATCATGCACACCCGATCATTTGCTGAAGAGTCACTTCTATAACTCATGCCAGCTGTACCACAGAAGACACGGAGCATCGGAGCCGACATCGTACCTGCATGGATGCCACTCAGGTATACTTTGTGCAGATCGACAACCCGGAGTCCGAAGCACGTGTGCACAAACACACACAAACCATTCTCCAGCGGTGGGAGGGGGGCGCACCCGGGTGCTCATCAATGATGTCGGTGAAGCCATGGATCCACCAGGTAATCAGGAGATAAGGTCGCGGGGAGTTTGTGGGTTCATCGGTATAACTTAAATAGCCACTTGGGGTTTAAAGTATGTAAGCGAAAGGGTCCCATCGAGTGAAGTAGCAATCTCGGGGCAGGCAATTCGGGATTAAGGTTCTAAATTGTTATATATAAGGCCTCAGGATGTATTGGTGTAAGGCCTGAGCCTCGATCATACAGAAACCCTAAGCCTCTGCCGACAATGTGCACCCATGTTTGTATCGAAGCACTATATCTATGCACCAATACCATAAAATATGCAAGACAGCAGCTCGATGCTGCTAAATGGCTGAAGTGGCCGCTTTGGGACAAGAGTGGCCGAGACCGCAAAAGTGCTACAATCCCCCAAAAAGCATATCAAACCAGGGTCGGACCGAAATAAGTGTTACAAAGGAACCTCCAGGTAAATATGAATCACCAAAAGGAACTACAAAAGGGGACCTGGAGCCCTGTACCCGAAACCCTGCAGCCCTGAATAAATCAAACTTGCCCATGGTCCATGTACCCAAATACGGATCCTTTAAGGGGTTCCTTTAAGGGTTCTATGGCATGGTGCCATAAGGGTCTAGGGATTAAAGGTCCATGTACCCGAACAGTATGTACTTTGGCCCCAAAGGGACTATTTTAATGACAAAGTACATAATCTTGTCAGGGCAAGACATGCTACTCAAAAGCTTGTCGTAAGAACATTGTTGCAGCTGTAGGAAACGTTCTTTCATGGTAGATTTCCGACCCAGGCTCCAACCTGTAACAGCCAATTATTCCTACTACTGTTACCTCCTTATCCTGGCCTCTCAAAGAAACTGTGGCTTAGGTCATGTCTATCAATCGCCTCAAACGGAACAATTACACACCACGGTAAGTAGATTCACGAACAGACAGTCGCATGAGCACATAACCTTTGCCTTCGCTCTAGCCGAGGCTTGGGTTTCGTTAAAATCAGCTAATGTACCATGGTACCCTAAGGGTCCATGTACTCATATAGTATATACATTGGCCTCAAAGTGCTCCCTATATCGATACATTGGGCCCAAAGTATACACTATTTGGGTACATGGACCCTTAGGGGTAGTGCAGAAGGTTGCTACGTACTGTTGATTGGCAAAATGTGGGCAAACCCGTCTCTATCTATCCCTAAGGGTCCATGTATCCATATGAGTATACATTGAACCCCAAAGTACCTATATAGGGACTGCCGTAAGGCCAAAGTATATACTAATTATATGGTTACATGGACCCTTACGGTATAGTAAGACGTCTGTCTTAACTTCGGTAGTCTAGGACACATATTATAATGTAATGCAGGGTTGCAGTCGGTATCTGCACGAACCCATTCGAGGCTTCAGCAACTTCTGTTGATGCTCTACGTGGACACTACCCAGAGGCCCCAAAGTAGTTCCTTTTGGGGGGCTCATATGTAGAATCCTGAAAGGTAATCCCAGAAAGGAACTACTTTGGGGCCTATGGGTAGACGCTCCATGGATAGAAAAAAGTTCCCTGCCCCACCAAAGCCCACCAGTTACTATACAGGAGCATCGTAGACTGGCCTTTTGCGACCAAAATGCCTAAACCGTTAACCTTGAACCCAAATCCTCAATACCTACCTTAACCCACCAGAACCTACTTTTGTAGGCTCCCTATAAATTCCATAAAAGGATTTATAATAGGAACCTACCAAAAAAGTAGGTTTTGGTAGGTTAAGGTATCTTAAATTCATACCGAGCATCCTGCCAGGCACATTGTGGCATGGATATGTAAACGACACTGTAAATACATCTTATCAGGGCTATCCCCCAACTACAGCGATTTACCTCATTGCTACAGTTCTTCATACACTACATCTTATGAGGGCTATTGCCCAACTACAATGATTACCTCATTGCTACAGCTCTTTATACAGTTAGCACTCTTTTGCCATTTCATACTACACTCAATCCTTGCGACCAGTTTGTCTAAACCCTTAAAGACCATGAGCACGGAACCGGCAACCCCCTAATATAGGGGCCTTAAAAATTAGAACAGGGCTTGGGGGGTCTATTCTACTATAATCATAATAAGGAACCCCCGAAATAGTATTGGTAAATGTTTAGGCCGCTACATTATACTCCCTGCTTCAAGACCAGGCTCAAAAAGTCCAAACTTTCTAGGATGGACCAAATATGAGAAGCCAAAACTCTTAAAGTTCTCCCATTTGCTATCTAAGTATAACATAAAGCCAACAAAACTTAAAGATTTCCCATATCTTAGTTTTACATAGGTCCCGAGAGCTTGGACAAGAGCGCCTCAGTGTCGCGAAGACTCGGACCAATTTCAGGGCCTCTGGAAGGTCCACCTCGCCATGGTAACGGATCCAGGTACTATACTTGGAGGGTCGGGGGACTTACAGGTAGTAAGTAGTTATTTTAGAGGCTTATAAGTACCATAACCGCAATTAGGGTCCCTTTTAGGGTACTTATAACTGTACTTACTACCTACTTACTAAGTCCCCCGACCCTCCAAGTTGAAGCCTTGTTAAGCAGACTAGAGGTTTCCTCTAAGGGGTTCTATAAGGGCTCTATAAGTGATCTGGGGATATAAGACAGGGGCATGGATAAGTAGGGTTGGGTTTGGGGATATGTTATACTTTATACATTCTCAGGAACTCTAAAGTAGTAGTATTTGAGGTGTAGATTTCAACAGTCCCCCAAAACAACTTCTAGCTAGGGCTCTATAATAAACAATAGGGGGAATTAAACATTATCCCAACTGCTTAAACCAAGTATAGTGTACTTGGAGGATCATGGGACTCAGTAAGTAGGGTTATACGTACCTTAATTGGGGTTATTAATTATACGTATAAAGTTACCCTAAATATAACCCTAGTTACTAAGTCCCATGACCCTTTAAGTATACCTTTGGGACCCAGGTATTTGCTAAAGCGGTACTTGGACCGTTTGGGACATGGGCCGGGTCCAAGGTCTGCGGTGCTCCTGTCGGGCGCTGCAACTTCTTCCGTCGTCTCCACTCGGAGTAGGTTCGGCCTACTATAGGGGCCTTCATGATTAGAATAGGGTTTTGGGGCTCTACATACTATAACTATATAGTAAGGACCCCCTAAAAACATTATTGGTACTTATTGAGGCCCCTGTACTATTAGATTCTGCAGGGCGCTGCAGACTCATCTTGGGCGCCTTGCGAGATGAGGCCCTGGTTGGCAAGTGAATGCGGAAGACACTTTCCGAGGGTCACCACGCTTCCCAGAGACTCCAAAACCCCCTTCATTAAGGAATATACCTTAAATCATGTTAAGGAAACTACTATAATTTAAGGTATATTCCTTAATTAAGGGGTTTTGGAGTCTCTGGGCACACGCTGGCCACAAGCTTCTACCACGTCATTCCCGCTTCATCGGCTCTTCCATTGCAGCCTTGTAGCTTGAACGATGTCCGTTCTTCCAAAACTCCCGAGGTTCGCAAGATGTGTTGGTTCTTCCAAGTTCGTGGCAAGACCATCTTCCTGGAACGCCGGCTTTGCTAGCTCCACGTCGAAGGCAAGGTCACAGAAGCTTTGACTGTGAAAAGAGCCCGAATCTTCCAGCCATTGGCAAGAGTAGTCTTACCTATAGTCTCCATTGTACTTCCTTTTTTGGTTAACCAGTTTTATGGTTAGGATCCTATACTAGAGATTTTAGTCAACCAAAAAGAGGAACTACAATGGAGACTAAAGGTAGATGCAAGCAAGCGATTCAGGGAAGAGTTGAACTTGCCCTTGCTACTGTCTACGAAGCGCCCTCCAGCCCTACACTCCAAGGTTCTCCTCAAGGGATCTCATAAGGAGTCCTTGACATGAAGGCTCAAGGGTCTTTATAACGATTGAGGATATAAATCCTGCATTACCTTAAGGATCCTAAATGATGGGAATTCTTGTACAGTAATTATAGGCAATGCAGGGTTATATCATCAACCGAAATGGGGAAACACAGGGGTCATAAGTGCCAGCTTGGGACCACTATACGCATATTTGGGAGTTTCCGTAAATAGGGGATCCTAATATGGAACCCTGAATAGTAGGATCCTTATTATAAGGACCCCAAAATAAGGTACCCCTTCTTTTCGGAAACTCCCATATCTTCGAATCCTACTTATAAACTGGTTCCCAGCAGGGACCTCGGGGGCTGAGAGTTTAGGGCCTTCTGGGCTTTAAGGGTTTAGGGTTTACAGTAGAAGCCAGAAAGTTGGAATATCATTATCGTAACCCCTTTAAGGTAAATTATAGGGGATCCTGCCATTCATCCATATTCCAACTTTCTGGAGCTCCCTTTAGGGTTAATCCATCGCCCCAATCCTTATGAGTAATGTAAAAGGAATCCCAACACTATTTGGCCTTAATCCGGTTTCCAACTTTATGGGGTTTACTGTAGGGCCGTAGGGCTTTGTGGGGTGTATAAGGCTGGTTTTTGAAGGGGAGTTTAGCTAAGGGCATCGAGCTTCAAATATTTAGGGATTTACGGGCTTCTGGGGTTGAGGATTCTCTGGTTTGCTGGTTGCCACCTGGAGGCTATCGCGGAGTTTTGTGGTTTGTGGTTCTGGGTTGACAGTTTGGCGTCGGCACCGGATCGGCAAAGACTCCTTGACTTGTGGCGTTAGGCACGAATCTGAAATCCGTGTGGCTTAAGCCTTAAACTCTAGATAACCAGGCCTGAAGCTCTCAATCCTGGAACACGCATGTTTCCGTCCGCTACGCGTGCCTCCTCCATCACATCCTGCAACCGCCTGAGCGAACTTGCCATAGCAGCAAGGGAATCTACTCCGAACCGCTTACAAACCACAAACCTCGTGAAACCCGAAGTTCTAAAGCCCTGTAGACCCTACGCTCTTGGACTATCTTCACAAACTGGGCCATGGATCTCATGAAACAGAACAGTAGTTATGCTGTTTCCTCTCTGATTGGAGGTTAAGTTATATCCCTGAAATTTAAGAGACAATTGAAGCCAAAGGTCTGTGCTGTTGAAAGAATGATTACAGTATAGGGACATTAAGGCCCCTGGAAGAGTAGGTAATCGGCGCTGCCGGATCATTCTCAACACTGACTTTGCTACGGGGTAGAACCGTCCCTGAACTCATAGGCCCCCTGATCCGTCATAGCTGGTTAGAGTGCAAGGTTTTCGCAGGAGCTGGTGGTGAATTGGGGGATTGTCCGTTGAAGTTTGCATGATCCTCGAGACCTATCTTTCATAGGCTTCTCATGGGCTTCAGACCTGTCTTACGATGCTTGACAAGTTCTAGACGGCTTCAGGACCTATCGCAAGCAACCAAAAACCGCGAGTTGCACATTGAACTGCTGGGTGCATAGTCTCGGGAGGGCTCCATGGCTAAATTTACCTCCTAGCGAAGTCTTGGCAAGCTACACTCATACGAATCGGCACTTAGCCCCTGACTGGAAGAAGTCGGACCAAAACGGTTCGTAGGCAATCCTCCACCTGCCGCTGCTGGTTTAAAGCTTCAGGGATGAGACTTTCGCCCTGACAGCCAGGACTCTACCAACAGTGGCTTAGGTGGGTGGCTTGGGCGAGGACGTACGAAGGACTTCAAACCCTCCAGCCTGATGGCCAGTAACCCCTAACCTTACAATGCTAAAACCATCACCCTGAAGAATCTCCAAACCAGAAGCAGTTAAACTTTCAAACCCAACCGACCGTCAAATCCCTAAACCCTAGGCCCTAAGCCCTGCGCCGCTTACCATAGCATCTAGCCTCAAGGCTCCTTCTGCCGATTCAGACACGAAGGACTTCGCACCACAAATAGTCATTGGACACGGCACATCTTTCTCTTTGACATGAACGCTGCAGGTTGGGGGGTTTAATGCTGCAGGTTTGGGTAAGGTTTTCGTAGCTCATATTGCGGGCTTCATAAAGTGCAGAACATCTCGAGCACGATGAATTCCGATGTACGTGCATCTCCACCATGACAGAAACAGAGATCAACCCATCTGAGGCTCCAAAACCCCTTTAATTAGGGAATATACCTTAAATTATAGTAGGATCCCTAATATGATTTACGGTATATTCCTTAATTAAGGGGCTTTGGAGTCTCTGGGAACCCATCAGGTCCTTCACCCAACAGCCCATGGCCCATGGGTTCCACGACCTCAACCCCTTAGAGATTTAATCCCTATGAAAGAAAGCAAGAGTAACAGTGACATGCACTGACGCTGTTGTCGACGAGGCTGTAAGCCCTAAGCTCTCAGACCTAAGCCCCGAGAAACCCAAAACTCTAAACTAACACCGGGCTACTGAACTTACGATAGGGCTTTAGACGGTGACGTGCATAAATTGTGCACTCTTACGGCTCGAAGGAGATCCTGTTTAGGCATAGGTATGTTGAGCCTAAAGCAGTACGTATACAAGATAGGCACATGAACCCAAAACAGAGAACTTGAAAAGCAACAAGTTGCAAACCCTTAACAAAGGTAATTAAGTTTAAACGAACCCTTACAGCGACCCTAATCAAACCCCCAGTCCCCTTCAAGGAACCTCAAAGTCAAGCTTCATAAACCCTGAACCCTGAAACGGACCCTTGTTAAGGAGCCCTTCCCCGCGCTCCATTCTCCAGCCAGCTAGAATTCCACAGAGGTCATTCCATAGAGAGCGTCGTGTTTTGTAAGCCGTGCACGTCCTTGGTGGACGGGACGACAATACAATAATAAGGTCTCCATCACTGGCCCAAACGAGCTCCTCGAGCAAGCACCACCGGCTGGCCCATTCCTTCATGAACTGAACAGCAGGGTGAGGGAGGCCTTCATGCTTACAACACTTCTGGCAACAACACGAGTGGTCAGCCCCTAAACAAATGTGGCGTGGCTGGTAAGATTCTATCATCACTCAGCAGGTAATACCTGGACATCTAAGTTATCATAATATAAGTACCCTGAAAAGCATCCAACTTGGGGCTATGATACTTATGCCTGCGAAAGAATTAACTACTTGCTAAGTCCCCGACCCTCCAAGTACGCCCTAAACCCTAAACCCCTAAACCCTAAACCCCTAAAGCCCTAAACCCTAAATCCTAAGTTCCTCACCCTATAAACCCAGCAGATTCTGATTTCGGCACCTGAGGGATCCTTCCAAGCCATGGGCGACCAGCTGTGGGGCGCTGAGCTGAGAAACTCGCACTTCGGCCTCCAGGGGCTTGGTGTCTAGGGTTGTAGGGTACAGGGTTTCGGGCAAACTTTAGGGTTTATTTAAGGGTTTAGGATTTCTAGAATTTAGGGCTTTAGGGTTTAGGGCTTTAGTGTTTGATTAGGGCTTTAGGGGTTCGGAGTTTAGGGGTTTAGGGTTTAGTTTCTTTTTTTTTCCTGGTTGGGCCTTCGTAACAAAAACAGCTTTTTGGGATACGTCCTAGCATAATCATATTCAGGAACCCTGAGAAACGGTGTTCGCAAGTATTCAGGACCTTATATACGGGTTAGGGCTTTGGGGCCACTTGTAGAGTTTGGGGCTTTAGGGCAGTACGTAGAGCTTCATTGATATTAATGGGTTTTTGGGGGCTCAGAACGAAGTTTGGCATGGGGGGGATAGGACCAGCCTGCTAAGAATTCATACTCCCATATGCTCACCATCACCATAACACTTATGGCGGCAATGGAGCAGCACAGAGAACTTCTGCAAAGTTTAACAGCTCGGAGTGGTGAAGAGACACCTTTCATAGTGAGCATGACTGATGCTACTTGATGATAAAACACGACTGCTCGTATCTATACCTTGGGTTCAGGCTTATGGGGTTTAGGTTTCTGGAGGATGCTGCCGTTGAAGAAAGCTTTCGGAAACCGTTCCTCTTTTCGCTGCTTCTGTCGCTAAGCTTTTTCGAATCGTTTAAACTCCACGCCCCTCCTCCCACCCCAAAACCTCGTAGAACCGAAACCCTATAGACACCAGCTTTAAAGTGTTGGACTTTGACTTTGAGACGGAGGGTGGGCACATAAATGTGGACCAACAGCATGAAAGTGCTGCACCAGTACTTGCCAAGCGTTCGGCAAAGGTGCAAGCATCTGCTGAAACAACTTTAGGTCATTTGATTAATTGCGTCTTGTGATGCAAGACTTTAAAGCACGAGGGCTAGGGCTCAGGCTTGAGAATTCGGGTCGGGTTATTGGTAGCATCGAAGTATCAAACTTATACAGGTTCAGAACCCAAGCCTTAACTGCTAATTAACCCAGATCCCTGCAACCCTTCAGCCTTCAACCTCAAACCCCGAAACTCTGGCCAAAGGACTCTTTGGGCGCAAGACAATACAAGCTCTTGTCTCTGAGCCCTAACTCCAAGGGTAAAAGGAGGGACCCTTAATAAGGACCCCTAAGTATATACCCTTAATATAGTTATTATATACCCATTATATTGCCCATTATAGGGTAGGGGTCCCCATTAAGGGTCCATCCTTTTCCCCTTTGACTAACGTGAATCCCTCCAGTCTGCTGTTATAGTGTTGTACACCGAATCCTTGGACCGGTTCATACTACTGTGTAGGGCTTGGGGAACCTACACCCTCAAACCCCTTAAAACCTAAACACGCGCATTCCTGGAGCCTAAACCCCTAAATCCCAAAGAACCCGAACACCCTAAAAACCCAAAAATCCTGAACCTAAATCACCCAAACCTTCGCATCCTGCACACCCAAGGCCCTACGTCCCCGATGTAGACCCTAACCATCGCAAGAGGGTGCACCCTCTGGTAATATACCCCCCAAACCCTATTCTAAATTGTTAAGGAAGCTATATGAATCATTATGGCCCTCTCCGAGCCCCTGGCGATGGGAGGTAGGCCGTCTGTCAAGGGAGGCCTCATCTTGGGGTTATAGAGTTTAGACGTAGAAGGACTTACCAGGACCCCCCCAGTGGCCCTTTAATGGAGCCCTTATGGTCCTCAATAGTGTTGTATAGTAGAGGGTAGTTGGGGGGGTCTAGGTAGCTTGAACGTTTTTTTTTTAAGTCTTGAACGGTTTAGGGGGTTGGGGTTTAAGGCTTACGGGGCCTAGGGTTTCGGGGTTTCAGGGGCTCATGGTCTTGGGAGCGACGATCTCGGGTTTTGAAGAGTAAGGGTTGTGTAATGGGGTGGTATAATTATGTAGGGTGCAGAGGGCTTTTGGGTTCAGGATTTAAGGGTTTAGTATTTAGGGTTTATGGTAATTGGGTGGTATATCTAGGGTACTTAAGGGCCCGAAACACTAGGGCTAGGGATGTGGGTTTACTTCAGGGTTTCGGGGTTCAGGTCTTAGGGCTCACGGCTTAGGTTTCGGGCCCGTGAGGTTGCGCTTCGGGGTTTGAGGCTTGAAGTTTAGCAGCTTGGGTTTAGGGTTTAGGGTTTAGGGTTTAGGGGTTTAGGGGTTTAGGGGTTTAGGGTTTAGGGTTTAGGGGTTTAGGGTTTAGGGGTATTGTTCGGCTCATTCGGATGTGGGACGAGGGCTTGGGGGGGGGGGGGGGGGGGGGGGGGAGCACGGTCCACGAGCCTAAATGCTAACAGTCTGTGAGGAGATCGCAACTTTTTGGGGTCAAGGGACTTTAAGGCTTAGGGTTCGAGGGTTTCGGGTTTCAACAAGAGACGATCGTCTCTGCAATGTCCTCGATAGAGCCTGCCCATATGTCGCTCTTGCCGGCATTCTGACCCAGAGACCTCCTCTCCGCCATCTGAGAGCCTTGAACGGCCGACCGAAGTCGGTGTCTGTGAGCTGCAAAGGAGCCGTCATCTTCGCAAAGATCAGAGTCTGGATCGTGTTCTCCCAAGCATCTGAAGAGCGCCTGTTGGACGCTCTCGCTGAAAGAGGCTTTTTCCTTCAGCGTGCGTTGGAACCTGCACTCAGTGGGGTTGACATTGACTGATGAGTGCGCTTCATGCTCCATCCCCCAAGAGGCTTGCAGGCAGTGGGGGTGGACAAGGCCAGGAGAGCTGGAGGTTGCACTCGTCTCAGGATCCATGTAACGCTTCCAGACACAGCGTGCGGAGCGTTTCCCTCGTCTCTTCGAGGAAACATTCATCAT